AAGTTGTGCAGAGTATTTTCCACGAGTCAAAATTGTGAATAGGTCCTCTGGGGCTGGCTGAGGGTAGTGATGTGCTTCCAGAGCTGCATTTAGACCAGTGGAGAAGTCTGCGCATATCCGGATTGAACCATTGGCCTTCTTTACCACAACGATTGGGGCCGCCTAGGCTGAATATGAGACCGGGGATAGGACGCCTTCGTGTTCAAGACGTTCTAACTCAGCGTCAACTAGCGGTAACGATGCGAATGGGACCGGTCTTTTTGGACGGAAAACTGGTTTGGCGTCCGGCAGAAGGCGAAGGGTAGCCTGTGTCGTAGAACAGTGTTCCAATCCAGGTTGAAAAACCGTGGTGAACTGTTCGATGATGTCCGCGTTATTTTGGCCAGGTGTTGCTGACAATTGTAGAGCATTACAGGTGGAGCTAATAGGGATGTCGGAAAAACCCAATTGTTCGAACCAATCCAGATGATGGAGGTTTTAATTTTGGGTTGAGAACATAACACGTGCCAGTGAAGAATGTTTCGCGAAAGGAAACACAGCATTGCATGTGGCCGCGGAAGTGAATTTCACCACCGCAAGCACTGATTGCCGTTTCAAAGATATCCCTGAGTGGAGGACTTCCGATGGAGCGCCATTGAGTTTCCGAGATGATGGTAACATCCGAGGCGGTGTCTAGCTGCAGACGAACTGGATGGCCATTGATGAGGACGGTTGTATGCATCCTCTGCTGCTGTGAAGTGTCTTCGGAGGTGACCCGTAGTCTGAGGGATGCGATAGTAGGACTGACTGGGTTGGCTTTTGACCTTTCCTTTGTGTGAAGGTGAGGGTGCCGTCCTGTTAGATGGGGATGATTTGCCTCATCCGTACTTGTGGCCCTTAGCTTTGCATCGCTGGCATCTATGCTGTTTGAAAGGGCAGAACTTGACATAATGCCAGGCCCCACAGTGCCAACACGCGGAAGGAGGATTGTCCCTTGATCTCCTCCGGCTATTTGTCTCGGCTGATTTTCTGGTCGATTTAGGCTGACGAGGGCTGGGAGAGCCAGAAGTGGAAGATGTTTTTTTGATACGCTGGACCGTGTTGACTTCAGGAGCACTGCGGCCGCCAGCTTCGACCATTCTGGAGTCATGCAGCACGCTGCTTCAATGTAGGTATTCATCGTGGATATTGTCCAGCGTCACAGAGGGATTTTGATCAATCAAGTGTAGCAGTCGCGTTCGCAGATCCGTGTATTTAGGGATCTGAAGGCTGCATATGAGAATGAGAACTTTGAGCTAATCATCAGTCATTGA